GGTATGGCCTTAGACTCTAGGTAGCTTTACCAAGTTCTGAGTTTCTGTAGATATTTGATTTCTTATGGATAAAATTTGTAAGGACATCCTACTTTAAAGAAATGACTACTCAAAAGGATACAAGCATGTCTTAGTTTTGTGAAGCGATTTGCCAAGTATCACACCTTTCAGTTTTACCCAGTAAGGCTTTGAGAACAAGCAGATTGTCTTGAATGTTTGTTTAGTTATTTGATACTCTATTGCCACCTACCAAAAATTCAAATTTCCTCTCAACTTCCTCTACCTCTCCCCAATAACTGTTTATATTATCGAATATGGACTTTTATAAACAGTTAATTCATTTTTCATCTGTCTTATATACCACTGCTATTTCATGACTTTTTAAAATTGAACTAGTTTGTTTAATTAATTATTTAGAAGAATAATGAACTAGAAGACACACTTTATCTTGTGTGTCACAAAAAAGTTAATTTTCTAAGCCAACTATCTATAATCTATATCCTTTGACCAGCAACTTATAAACTAACTTTAAAACTGAAAGGACACCTGCATGGCAGGCTGTTTGACCAAACATAGGACCAAAAGTTTAATCTAGCATCAGGAATAGTTCCCTGCATTCTGTGATTTTTAGTTTTATAACTTTGTACATTTGTGCTAACTAAAGATATTTTCATAAGCAATGCAGAATATTTTTTTTTATTCTCAAACTCATCTACTCTGAATTCTTTTGTTTTTCTTTTTTAAGACAAGGTCTTGCTATGTAGTCCAGGCTGGTCTGGAACTCACTATGTAACCCAAGATGGCTATGAACTTGTGATACTCCTGGCTCAGTCTCCTGAATTCTGGAAAGATGAGAGTCCACTGCCATGCCTGAAACTACTCTGAATTTTAAATATTATAGTGCTTTTGTTATCTCGAAGAAAAATTATAAAGTTATAACTAAAGTGGATAATCTGGTAGCATTCAAACTATGAATCTGAATTTAGTCCATTTCTTTCTTATCCTATTTTCCCAACATCATATTGCTTCTAATTAGATGAGGTTATGAAAGCTGTTTTTCATATGTTTAACTTGTAGAGCTATTACAATCAGAAGTATTTCTATTCCAGGATTTTCAAAATAAGAGAATTCTTTGAGGTTAATGTAGTAAGTAGAATCTCAAATTGATACTTTAGGATTAATTCAAACTGAAAAGAAACTTAGCTAAGAAGCCAGATTATTCCTAAAATTACTTAACATAGAAATAGAAAAACATTTTCTAATAAAAATATCAATTTTCTCTAATACTCAAACCCAAAAGGAGGGCCTCTTTAATTCTACAGATATGTAAAAATGGATGTGCTTGTCAAGATTCTCTGTGTTAAAAGAAGTAGATTATCCTCAAGTAAGGCTTAGAGGAAGGATTCTAGGTTATTTCATCTCATCAAAGGAAGGTTTGAGAATAAGAAGGGAGTAATGGACTCTAGAACAAGGGAAAGCCATAACAATAATTCTTCAATATGCTCTTTCTTTCCTGCCTTTTCTTTTTTGCTGTCTTCTGCATGAGAACTTCTTCCTTCCTGCCTCCTTCATGTGTCAGGGACCATGGCAGCTGGTATTTTCAAAGCTTAGCATCTTTGGTTGTTACCATTGTTTCTTCTTACTCTATTATAGTTTGAACATGCCTGTTTGGCATAAATGTCATGCCTTGGAAAGAATCAATCAATTTATCAACAGATCTCAGGATGGTGAGGATCTATAAATAATCAATGACTATAGTAATAATTCCATATTGGCTAGGCATTTTTGTGGTCCAGTTAACAGAAAAATGAATTCAGCCTGCTTAAATATGAAAGGACAAGTTACTGATTTTAATTTCTGGAAGGCCTCAAAACTGAGTGCACCTTCCATCTGCTTAAGCTAGCTTTTTAAGTGTATCATCAAATATTCTACTGCTTCTATTTTTACACTGTACTACTCCAGTGTGAGCCTTGCCCTAGGCTGACTCTCATCATGCCTACAGGGTAGCTGCCCTCGCAGTAGGACTCAACCTACCATCAGGAAGAAAGATGGCCTCTACCTAGTGGTGTGCCAGAGTTGACTTACACCTGGTCTATCTCACAAGAGTCAAATTTTCTGCACCTAAAGAGCTTATGTTGGTAGCTTAAAATTGGCTATGATGGGAATATTTACATCATGGAAATTGACAAATGCTACAAACCAGGGCTTTTTTTCTGCACCCGAGTTAGTTATATTCACAAGCATTACAAGACAGTGTTCTAACAGCAAACAAGCAGTCTAATTTTAGAGCCCACTGTGCAATCATATGTGCTCATAAAATATTATCATATTGTTGGGTTATTTCTTTCTGGAAATTTGAGTGAAATATGTGTGTTGGGAGGGAGGAGGTATAAAATATGTTCATGCTAGTAACTACATGAAGTAAAAGCGTTTTGTTGTTTGAGAATGAGAGTATTAAAAGTTTTCCACATCAGCACAATGCAAATTAAACATCACAGTGTAGAGCCACTTTACAATGCACCAGGTAACTAAAATTAAAAAGCATGACATGGCTGGACATTGTAGTGCTATTAGGAGGCAAAGTTCAGGAAGACAGAAGCTTGAGGCCACCCTGGGCAAAAAGTTGATGAGACCCTCCCCCCATCTCAACTGGGTGGGGTGCCATGTGCTGGTCATTCCAGCTAAGTAGGGAAGCACACATAGGAGAATCATGATCCAGTGAGACTCCATCTCAAAAATCAGCAATATAAAAAGGCTGGAGGCATGTCTCAAGTCGTAGAGTACTTGGTAGCAAATGCCAGGCCCTGAGTTCAACACCTAGTGCTACCAAAAAAAAAAAACAAAACAAAAACAGAATGGCAATATCAAAGTTGAGAAGCATGAGGAGCAGTAAGAAATCTCACACATTCCTGGTGAAAATGTATCTCAATATAACCACGTTGAAGAATTGATTAGCAGTGTCTTGTAAATTTAAATGCATAGCTAATTTATGACCCAGAAATTACATTCCTAGCTATTTATGTTAGTATCCAGACTAAAAAAATTCTTATAAATCAACACTAGAATGTTGCTGGGTGTCGTGTTGCACTGGGGAGACTGAGGCAAGAGGAATAAGAGTTCAATCAAGGCCAGCCTGCTCCACCTGGTGAGACCCTGTCTCAAAAAAAAAAAACCCAAAAAACCCCAAAAAAACCCCAACTTAATTGCAAAATGAAAAGATTTGAATAGACTTTCTTCAAGGAAGGTACCCAAGCAGACAACAAGTACGTGAAAAGATGCTCAGTGTCATTAGTCACAGGAAATAGCAAACCAAAACCACAATGAGCTGCAACTTCATACCTTCTAGGATGCTATAATAAAAAATGATAATAATAAGTGTTGGCAGGAATGTGGAAAAACTGTGACTGTGTTTGTCAGATGGAATAGCAACTCAAGAACACAGTGTCAGAGCCCCAAAGTATTAAGCATTGGGTTACAATATTATCCAGTAAATCCTGTCCTAGTCACATGCCTAAGAAAGTTGAAAGCATATCAGAGCTCATCAACTGATGAGTTCTGAAAATGTGGTACAGCCATACAAAGAAATACTACTCAACAATAAAAAGAAATGAAGTGCTGACATAAGCTACAGCACAGATGAGCCTTATGCTAAATATTAGAAAGCTATCATAAAGGCCATGTATTGTACAATTCTGTTTACACAAACACACAAGTGCACAGGCACAGAAAGTGTGGTTGTATCAGGCTGGTAGAGCAGTTTCAAAAAGCAGAGGAGATGGGAAAAGATTGCCAATGGATGTGAGGTTTCTCTACATGGTGAAGAAAATGTGGAACTGGAAGAATCCAATGCTAAAATGCTATGGGAGTGTGAATTGCCATCAACTTTACAAAAGAACCAGTGGATAAACCTGGAAAAGGATCTTGCTTAGTACCGATAACTCAGACCCTCAACTTCTATTCTAATGAAATAATAAGAAACTGCCTCAAATTTTTTTGTTCATGAATGTTTTTACAATATGCTTAGTCATGAAAAGGTGGAGAAGGTAGAATTTATTGACCATTGGAGGTTGACTCAACATAGGCTGGTACCTCTCTATGCTGGAATTTGATATACCACTAATAAAATGCTTTAGAAGGATTGATAATCACATAGAAATGCACGATGCTATGTTATTTTATGTTAACAAAAGATTGTGCTCTGTATTAGTGTCTTAGCTGTATCTAGTTACCTATAAAACTGACTGGATAAGATGAGGTAACAAAAGTCTTTTTAATTTCTTATTTATGCTGCTTTACATTTCTATGGGGAAAAAGAGGTTGGAGCATATATTTGTTTTATAATTAGGAAAAGACCAATGATACGTGGTGTTACAGACACTAAATCCCTAAGCAAATGATGTTTGTATGAACATTGAAAGAATCTGTTCAATAAACATTAAGGGATTTCTAGTGATCTGTCCTTGGTAGGAGTCTCTATCTGTAAAGAGCTTCGAGCAGTTTCTCGATAGCAGCACTCAAATTGACATTTTGGGCTTGGTTGTATTTTTGTAGCAGGATGGCTCAGAGTGTGGGTATGGACAATCCTGTGCACTACAGCATTTTAGCAGCATTCCTGGCCTCTACCCAATTCCATTGTGCCAGCAAAAATTGCCTTCAGATATTGCCAGATATTCCCTGGGAGGCAAAATTGTCCACAGTTTATAATCACTGAATGAAAGGAACCTTTTTGCAAAGAAGGAAAATTCTGGATTGTTTCAAAGTAGAATTTATCCATTGTGAATTTCTACCTATTTTCTCATGCATATCCTTGTATTATATCTAGGATAAACATTGTTTCATCAGGGAATATAAATAAATACTGACATATCAAAATATCTCTTGATTCTCATTTTAATTTCTCTACCAATTGCATGAGTCATTATAACATTTTGTTTTAATGTTTACATCATTGCTTTATGTTGTTTGAGATCCTAATGTTGTTTGTTCCATGCTCTGTACAGCTCGCTCAGCCATCACCGGAAGCTGTGAAAATGATGGCGTGCACATTATCAGAGGTCACAGTCCCTCATCCACACCTGTTGCTACCGTGTGTGGTGATGAGACCTTAGCTCCTATGACCCTGACTGGTCCAGTGTTACTTAACTTCTACTCCAATGCACACATCACAGACCTTGGGTTCAAGTTTTCCTACAGCATAATCCGTGAGTAACTATATGACATAGTTTGGATTTTTTTTTAATAATTCATACAAAGACTTTTCATTGTGATTCATCACACATCACCAACTTAAAGATTTAGAGACTTTAAGGGGAAAAAGAGATCAATTAGGTACATGGTATAAAAATACTCAGACATTTTTTTCTTTAAATAAAGACTTTTTCATGAACTTTGGTCAGGACTACTCTCTGAAAATCAAATGGAGAATTGGAATTTATTTTGCAAGTTAACATGAACATTCTTGCTTTAGCTTTTCATGTATTATGTAAAGATGCTTTTCGGCCTGGATTGTCCTAAATTAATCAGAGGCATGTTTTATTTCCCAAGTTACTTTGTTAATATGGAAACTAATATCTTATAAATTTAGAAGAAATGTAAGAGAATATCTTTATGATCTTCTAATAGGAAGGAAAGGATTCTTTAAAGCAATATGCAAAATGCACAAGCTCTAAAGGAAAGGATTGATATATGCAGCTATGCCCTAACTTGTAATTTCTCTGCAATAAAGGCAAAGTTAAAAAGACAAGCTACAGACTGGAAAAGGACTCTGTAGCTAAGAAGAACACCATAAGATTATACTTCTCTATCTCAAATTGAACCTTCCCTTTCTGCTTGGTTAGTCTGCTGACAGTATTCTTTCCCAGCATCTCCACCTCAGTGAAACAAGCACACGAATCTTGTAAAAGTCTTCCTGGGTTTGGTTTGTCTTTGCTTGACCAAGTCCATTGCTAAAGGTAGAAAGATAAATTGTTTCCTCTCAAATAGATTACTTTTCCCGTCCACAAAGAAGATTAAAAGTGCCTATTTGCTAATGAAAAAGGGCATGACAATTAATTCACATTTGTTGCTGTCTCACTTCTGGCCTCCAACATTTGTAAAATATTCTGTATGGCTTTATAGGTCTGCTGGCACCAACAGAACAGAACTGAGCAATTAACATCTCTTTCCTCATTGTTTTGTTGAATAAAGAAAAGCATTTATTTGCATTATTTTTATGGTACAAATGCTGCTTTGGAGAGTTAAATTCCTTCCTTCCATTCTTCCGCTCTTTATTTTCCTAAAACACGTCAGGTAAGATTCAATACACCTAGTAAGTAATTCTTACTTAAGGAGTGTGGATGATACTGATTTCAAATCCTGACGGGGTATGAAATGGAAGTTACTTTAGCATTTTAAACTTTCATTGATAAATGGTACTTTCAGTATACATAGTTGTATACTAAATGAAATATGATTGCTACCATAATCTGTTATTTAATTCAGTACAGATGTACCCAGCAGTCTGAGCACATGAATACTTACAAGTATAGAGAGAAGTGTCTACCCTGAAAATGGGCTCTGGGGAGGCAAAAAAACAATAAATAAATGAAAGACCTTAAGTGGCAGCACAATTTGTTCCTCATCTCTACAAGATATAGGTGGAGCGTGTCATTGGTGGGGCATAAACCATAGGAATAATCTTCAAAATATACTAACCTTCAACAATTTCAGAATCACAAAATAAATAAACTGCGATGGGATGAAGTGTTTGCCATTGTTATGTGGCAAAATCAATTCTTCTTATCTGTAAGAGGAAACAATCATAATTTAATATCTGCAGAAGGATCTTCATTACATTTCCTGGTGGTTGTTTCATTGACTAATGGGTGTAACTCAGGGCTCTGGGCTGTTAATCTCTAGAGTCACAGGGGAGAGTTTATCAAGTGGGCTTATAAATATTCTAAATTTGGGCAAGTATGAGCGTTACCAATTTTACAACTAAATGCAAATACAGAGGACTTGAGAGCTATGCATTTGACCCACAGAGGAACTAAACTTGAAAGTTCCAAAAATGATTTCCATTACTTCACTTTGTAATATTTAACTGCTAACAGAGGAGACTTAAATCCACATGAGTTAAGATGTCTAAATTGAAGTCTTACCCAGATCTCTAGGACTAGAAAATGCTTTGGATTCTGCCGGCCTTTTCTAAACATCCAGTTATCACTGTCATATCTCTGTGTCAATTCGTCAGTTAAACAGAGGAAAGGGACACCCAACATGAGAAATGTTCTTTCTCATTATATTATTATTTTCACTCTGACTGTTAATTTGACTCAGATTAGTTCCTTTCCAAAATGTGCTTTAAAGTATTCTTCCTTGTTTCTATTCCCTTACTATCTCTTCTTTCTCCCAGTGGAAAAATCAGAAGTATTTATAAACACAATGAAGAAGGTTTAAGTTATCTTAAGAAAAATCATTATCATCCCTCTTAGGGAGAAATGTGCAATAGTATAGAATATCTCAAAATTACTTTTCCATGCCGTGAGCAGTAAATCCTCTGCCCATTCTGTTCTCTTCTATTGCAGCGTGCGGCGGTACATACAACTACTCCACCGGGACCATCAGGAGCCCTTCCTACTCAATCAGCAACTACCCCAACAACATCTTCTGTGTGTACACCATCACCGTGAGAGAGAACAGAGTGATTCTACTCAAGTACGTGACACATGGTTCCTTGCTTAGGAAAATGCTTTCAGCTTTATTCACAGAGAAGCTATTCCTTTACAGTGGAGAGCATCGATTCTCATTAGTGGTCTAGAAGGAATCTTCTAAAGAAAGTGGATGGAGGTGTACCTGTATAGCAGTGAGACCTGGGAAATGGGCCTCCCATTCTCCATGCAACCCAATAGAGATTGAGGGGGAAATCAGGCACACCACCAGTTAACACAATTGTTATAATTTTCCAGCAATTGCAAAGGAGCTTTGAATAATAATTGTTAAGTTCTTAAGCCCACCTCAAAATCAAAGAAGGCTGGCAGGGCTGGAGTAATCAGTTGACATATATTGAGCACTTATTATAAAGCAGAGACTTTGCTTAACATTTCCCCTACTTGTCTTATTTCATCTTAAACAATCATAGGGATACATATATTTCATATTTCATCACTGAGAAAACTGAGGCTCAGAAGAGTCACATAGCTTTCCCAAAGTCACACAAATCTAAATGAGTCAAAATCTGAATCCATGTTAAGTTTTCTTCCATATTTCTCCATGCTGTCTCTCAAAGATAACTTTCTAAGAAAATTATTTCTTCTAAGAAATTAATTTTTATTCATGAATAAGAACACCACTAAACTGGTGCTATAAGGAATATATTAATGTCACTAGGAACAGAAGCACAGTTCTGGTCATTGCTATGACTGTATAGGATTATTGTGTTACTCCGTTCAGGCTGCTAGTAACAAAATGCCATAAAAAATACTGTGAACTTAGTAGCTTATAAACAAAAAGAAAATCTCATAGTTTTAGGCACTATGAAGTCCAAGTTAAGCTGTTTCAGCATCTGGAGAGGACCAACCCTCCAGGTTATAGAAGGTCCCTTCTTACTGTGTTCTTATATGGTAAAAGGGGTTTAGAGGTCTCTCTTGGGCTTCTTTTATAAGGAATGCTAATCCCGTTTGTGAGGACTCTTTTGCTTTCATGACCTAACCCCCTCCCAAAGGCCCTGCCTCTTAATGTCATCAGCTTGGGGTTTAAGATTTCAACATAAGGATTTTGTGGGACACAAATATTAAAACCATAGTTGATAGCTATATCAACTAACATAGATATGGCAGATATAATAAGCGTATAAAATATACACATTTTTCAGTTTCCAACCTGATTTTGGAGCTCACCATTGTCACAGTTCATATCTACCCATTTGGAAAATCATCTATTGTGCACTTTCTAAGAGTTTGCATTCTATGAAACAGATACTATTTTAGATGTTGTGAAGATGCAGACATTATTGAAACATAAATTCTTTTACCTGGGCTCTGAAAACATACTGGCCACACAAGATTTCCAAAGGACTTTTCCACAGATATGTTCTGTGATTTCCAGGGAAAATGATGCAAAATAAATACCTAAAACAGGTTTGAGTTCCCTTGGAAACTCAGATACTATCTCTCTTTGTGAATTCTTATGCGGAAAATATTGTGTTGTCTATAGAGAATAAAAATAAATGTAGTGTTGGTAGAAATGACCTACCTATTGTTCTGCCCTTGTCATCTTTCATAAAAACATTGAATGTTACATGTGGTAGAAAAAAATCAAGAATTTTTTCAGTTTAATCTTCATCATCAGTTTGAAAACATTCAACCAACCAACATCCTTTAGCAAAAAGAAAAAATTATAGTCTTTTTTTCTTAAGGATCTTAGAAGATCCTTAAGACTATAATTTTTAAGGATCTTAGAAAATCCTTAAGAAATATTTGATTTTTGTATATTTTCAAAATTATTCTGTATTATCATGTTTATGAAAGATGCTGGTAAAAACATTTAGGCAAACATACAAAATGACAGGATATCAAATAAAACAAGTTTATAATATTTCCTACAAGTGAAGTTTGGATGCTCTGCTGTCAATTTTTGCTTTATGTCTGTTTAAATTTTACCCAAACTATAGCTATAATGCAATGGGGGTGCACAGGAGACCATCAGTATTAACAAGGTACATTTCACAGGTTCAGTGATTTTGATGTGGATCCCTCTGCCTTCTGTGCTCAAGACTACCTGGCAATTTATGATGGTTCTACCACCAGAGATCCATCTCTTGGCAAATTCTGTGGTTCCAAGCTTCCGCCAAATATTAAAAGCACCAATAATAGCATAACCTTACTGTTCAAGACAGACGCTTATCATACAGCAAGAGGTTGGAAGGTAATTTTCCAACAGACATTAGGTAAGAGTTTTGAACATGTAAATTTTTTCATGACTCTTACTTTCCTGCCTGATTGAAATTTTTCCTGCATGCCTACAATTACTTTCATTTAAGCATAGAAGAGGGTCAAGAGAGGAGACCCATTGACTGTACTAACTTTCTCTTTACAGCAGTGAAGAGTCTTGGAGAATTTTAAGTAAAGACTTTGTGGTCAGACTTAATTATAAAAAAGCAGGGTCTGGGACCCTACAACTTAAAAAGGAAGAAATTTAGTATAGAAATTCTGATGGGAAACAGCCAAGGCTCAAACTAAAACAAGTAGGAATAGAGGAAGAGGAAAGGGTAGAAATCTCAAAGGTATTTAGAAGGTAGAGTGCATGCAGAGAACAGCGTATGGAACTTGGTGATACATTATATGAGAATGTGGGTTGAAGATGAGATCTTATGGGTAATTTGTTGGATGATGGTTCTTTAGTCTTAAGATTTAAGGGAGAAATGTTATATTTAGTTTGGGGTCTGTAGGGCCAGAGAACCCATTAAATAAATACATGGAAATATCTAGGAAGAAGTTGAAACTTCAGAATAAGTTTTTGGTGGAAAGATTGGTCTTAGAATCATTGAGAGATGGCCAATAAAGCTAGGTGTGTCAAAAATAACACCCCAGTTTATTCCCAATGCACAGGAAAGATAATTATCTACATAAAATTAGCTGAGAAGTTCAAATCATTTAAAATAAAAGGCAGTTAATCAGTTTTCTGTTTATCTATACTTGTAGCATCAATGGCATAAGTTATATTTGACTCTGGAAAGTGAATATTGATGTGATTAACGTTCTGAATCCTAACAGCTTCCCCAAACAAATATCTTACTCTGAAGACTCAGAAGGACCTGAGCACTTTCCTGCAGTAAAAATCCTGAGCCATCTTTCCACCTTCTTTGTCCTCACCCATGTTGTGAAAAACCTTCATCCTTCTGATGTAGAAACAGAGCTTACCTGAAACTTCTTTACATTTGGCATGTTATATTTTTGTGCATTTCTTGAGGGAAGTAATTAGACATTTCTGTTTTGAAGGCTTCCCATGAACTGTAGGCATCATGACAACTGTGTAAGAAAGTTGCTTTGCCATCTACCCATTTTGCTGTTTCAACAATCACTAAAAAGCTAGTCTCACAGGCCTTATTAGAATGGTGTAAGTGAAATGGCATACAATACACTGAAGGATGTTTTGAAAGAAAAATTAATTTTCCTTTGGAGATTTCTTTGCACAAAAGAACTCATACATTCTGGCCTTCTGCACCAACTGTAGAATCAAATGACTTATGTTTTTATTGGCTCTGTTACCTGCTTTCAAGTTGGTTTTGTTCGTCCTTCTCTATACTCTCATAATCACTGAAAGAGCTGCTTCTTCACACTGTTGTCATGTGCACGAAGTATCCCAATTTAGTCAGGGTTCCCTATCCTCATCATATTACTATGTCTTAACTCTAAAGAAGACATTTTTAGAGTTAATGTGATTTCACTGAACTAAAGTAACACAGAAGGAAAAAAATCATACATTTTCAGGGGCATTGTCTCTGCATGAGTCAGAGAACACTTACAGTAAATTACTGTTTTCCTCTGGTCTCAGAGAAAAAGCTTAAGTAGAGAGAACAGAAATGGAGTTGCATTCCTTGCCAGCATAGGGCGACCACTGCATTTCATAATGACTTTTCTCGTCTGTATCAATGCCATTGTCCACTTGGAGAGATTTAAGATATGATTTTAACTAATCCTTAATGATAATTTTCTTTTTGCTGAAAACGTAAATAGTATAATTTTGTCTTTGGTCTTGAAATGCTTTCAAGCCCTGCATACAAGTTTAATTGTATCAGTATAAATAACTTTCAGGTTTTTTCTGTTGTTGTTTGTGGTGAGGAAAAGGAGATGAAATAACAAAAGTAGTTTTAGTTCTAGGGTTTATAGAATCTTTCAGTTACAGATCTGGTTAAAAAAAAATCTTAGACTTGGCTAGTAGTGTACACCTTCCACTTCCTTGTCATCTATGGAGATGCTCCCTGCTTTTCCTATAAGGAGAGAGACAGCAACTTTGTGAGCCAGATAGTGCATTTTCCTTTCCAAGAATATCAGCTGGTCTGGAAACAATGTCTTCACTGAGTAAATAACTGATGTGAACAGATCATTGTAGTCTGTGACATTTCCATTTAGTTTGATCTTAACTAAATCCCTAAGTAGAGTTTTGCAACTTGCTGTTTAGTATATACACTTGGCAATAATTTATGCACATCTGCTTCAGTTTTTTAGAAGTCAGTAAAGAGCCTGGTTTGCACAACTATGTAATTTTGTGATTATTAAGTAAACATTTCTTTGTGCATTTGCTATATTTGTATTCCTAGTGGGTCAGTGTGAATTTCTGGAAAATATCCTCTAGTTGCTAAATATGCAGTGAAATTGGGTGTCCTTTCATGTAAATTTGGCAATGAGAGCCCAAATCTAGGATATAAGGAAAGGAGAAAGCAAAGCAAGTGACACTGAGAAATTAGTATCTAACTGTAATTCAAATTTGCCTTCTTGAGTCCTCCATGCACTTCACCACTACATGGGTCATTGGTCCTTATGTCTGACAACTAGGAAATCAGGACACCCAGGTCAGGGTGTCATACTGGGTGTCAGGGATTTGGGAAACTCTGGAATTATCTGCAAATCTGAGCATTTTCTGGACAAGTGCATATGTTTTGTCAGATTTTCAATGGCTTTGTGGTAATTCTCAAAGTTGACAAAACCACCAGTTCTGTGGATTCACCTGAATTGACATTTAAAAATCACCTTTTTTTTTTTTTTTGTAGCAACTTCTGTTAGTTTAGTGTCAACCTCTCCTTTACCAGCAGGGTTTGCTTCAGCCATGACTCTGCTTACATCTGTCATGGATGAAAACACTTCACACTTGTGACTGTGTTTTTTGCCATCACAGTTGCCATTTCTTCTTGCTGGAGGGTGACTCAGTCAGTCTGTCCCAACCTGCTCATTACATTATACACCAAACTTGTAGACATAGGATCTCTATATAGGGCAAGGTTGGGGGTTTTAAGTAAATGTATTTCTTGTGCAGTACCACGGCAATTTCATTTTTTCTACAATAATGTGCTGTGTACCACTTCAGCAAAACTTTACTATATAACACTGAACTTGGCCCACATAGGTTTTGAGGCATTGAAATCAGTGTATCCAGGAGAAAGTGAGGAGTCCCCCTTTAGGATGGCACATCCTAGGAAATTGAGGCCCTATCCCTGAAAAAGAGAGTAGTGTCAGGGACAAGTACTATCACTGACTGGAAACATGACTCAAAGCTGTCATTCTCCTGTTACCCACAGCCCACTTGCCAAGGACAGGGGCTGCTATCTGTCTTCTTCACCTGGGTTATTTGTCATATGGAGAATGAGTCAGGTGACATTAAGGTGAGACTCAGAACCTTAGCTACGAGACAAAGACAAAAATATCAAAGCACATGTCTAACAAGGGTGGAATGAATCACAGTCCAGCAAAGGTAGAAATATGGCCAAACAGAAAGAGATATAGACCAGGATTCTGGTGGTCATGATCCAGATGATTCATTATGTCACTGCCTGGTGATACAGCTTTAGAACGACCTCTAGAATTTCAGAGCTCAATTGTTATCCTCCATGAAAAGCTCAGTTTGAAATAGCACCACTTTTTATCTTCAAAGAATCTGACAGCAATGAAGTAGATAATTCCTATAAAGTACTTAGCCATCAAAGAGGAATTTTACTGCAGTAGAAAGTAATAGTGAAATTCCAAATTTCTATATGACTCCAGGACGCTCCAAGTTGGAGAGTGGCTGAGAAGTGGTAGTGGCAGAACCATCATTCTCAATGCCAGCCCTTCAATTTCCTACTTTTTCTTACCAACTTTGCATTGGCACCTGACCATTAAGTCCTAAGATACATTTTATAATTTAAGTCTGAAATCAAAAGGTGAATTCTAGTAAAATCGTAGGCCTTACAGAGGCCTCACACATGATTTTACACAGTTGGTTGTATGACTGAATTAAAAAGTAAATGGTCAGCTGTGATGGCTCATGCCTATAATCCCAGCTACCTGGAAGGTGGAAAGTGGGAAGATCATGGTTTGAGATCACTCTGGGCAAAAATGTTAGAGAGCCACCCCATCTCAATTAGTAAGCTGGGCATGGTGGCATGTGTCTATAATTCCACTTACCCAGGAGGCCATAGGTAGGAGACTCATAGTTTGAGGCTAGCCCCAGGAGAGAAATGCATGACCTTCCCTAAAAAAAAAAAAAAAAAAAAAAAAAAAAAAACCTAGAGCAAAAACAGAGTGCCTAACTAGTAAGTACAAAGCCCTAAGTTCAAACCCAGTGCCACCAAAAAAAAAAAAATAGAATACATGAATAAATTTATGTCTAATTTTAAATTACTTTTTTAAAGGAGAGAATTGAAGTTTGAATTTAGGACCTTGTGCTTATTAGGCCAGCACTCTATCACTCGAGCCATAACTCTAGCCCTTTTTACTTTTAGTTTATTTTTCAGGTAGAGTCTCGAACTTTTTCCTCAGGCCAGCTTCAGACCATGATCTTCCTACTTCTGTCTCCCACATAGCTGGGATTACAGATACATACCACCATGCCTGACCTTCAAAATTGTATTTTATTTTGAGATATAATACATCCTTATATATGATATCTAGATTCAACTCATTCTTAATATTCAGTCATAGTTCATATAGTTAAGCTGTTACATAGGAAAGCAAATTGAATCACTTTCATCCAGTACTCAAACACTAGATCAGACTCAGTATTTGGTTCATGTGCATTGGGTCTCTGGAAGTTTACTTATTACCTTGAGATTTGGAAAATATCTCTCAAATATTGTAGAAGAAGACATTTGGAGTGGGAGAGGAAGTTGAGAGAGTTGGAAAAAGATTCTCTTCTAAGTGGACATAAGAAAAGGAAAGAAAGACAGAAGGCTAAAGAGAGTCTGGGGCCACA